ATATTTTTGCCAAATAATATTATTTCTTGAAATCTGATAAAAGATCAATTAACTTATTTAAGGCCTCTGCACTGCCTGGCTTCAGATGAATTTTAAAATAGCCAATCTGTACAGTAGAGGCTGTTCATAGAGTTTGCCAGCCCAGATGTTTGAAATCCAGGTATAACTGGAAATCTCATTTTAGAACTTAGTCTAAAAAAACCAGCTGTCATTTTCAGACCAGGGGAGTTCAGATAAAAATTTTGTATTTCCCTATCCAAACTTCTACATCTCGAATCTTAGTCCATTCATTTATGAAGAGCTGAATGCATAGGTTAATTTCTTTCTATATGCTTCTCAATCTTTTTTTTAAAGACTATTCAGTTGTTATTTTCAGATTGGAGAGACTTGAACACAAAAAAGCAGGATACTGGAGGGTATGTAAGACCTTACTGCCATCTGTCACTGCTTCTGAATTTTGAGGAGGTTACCTGTTCTCTGAAAGTGTTATTTATGTCCTGGTGCCAGGGATTAGGTGATTTCATGGGGTGCTAGTTATGCTACCTATGAGAGTATACTTCCTCTTTTCCAAATACAGAGTTTGGAAAGAATGAAATTGAGTAATAAATTTGTCTAGAGCTGACAAATAATTATGGCCAAAAATACTTCTGAACCAAAAAGTGAGAGGAGGCAATTTGAAGACAACTTGTTTTGATGTTTGTAAAATTAAGCATTTCATTCAGATGATGCTTTTAAGGTAGAAAACTTTCTCTTGAAAATTCATCTAAATTTTTGGGGGAGGGGGGGAGGGGAGGAAGGCCTTTTTTAGATCTTTCCTTAAAAGATTTAAGTTATCAGAAAATAAAATGAAGCATTTATTTTTGATCACATGGAATCTTGTGGGTTAATTTGCTAGTTATGTGCAAGTTGGACATAGCCACAGTATTATCTTACTGAATGTTACTTTTTTGATATGACTTGATCGTAGCACAGAAGAAGTTGTAATAATGAGGAGTGAGACCGCAGGGTAAGACTGAGAAGGAGCAGCTTTTCGTTTCGGTGTAATAGGCACAGAACAGAACCTGCAGACTGTCTCTGTGATAAATGCTGTGTCAATGTTAGTGCTCCTTGTTCTTAGATAAATTAAATGGGAGAGGGGGAAGCCTACTGAGCCGTTCTTATTCAGCGGTGGCCTTGGGTATTTTCTGCTGAAGACTGATCCTATTTGTGAGTCTCATGGGCCTTCTCTAGAGCTGTGAATGATCGTTTTTCAGGATGGATGTTTGGTACAGTGGGACTTTCTGTCATCAAAACGTCTATGTTAAAACTGCAGCGTACAAGTAAGAGCTGGAGAAAATGTAGGAGGTGACCCTCTCTACTCTGCATTCTGCCATGGCAGGATCTGTGCCTGTCATACAACAGGTCAAAATGTTACTCAAAGAAACAATTTCCTTTGTCATGAAAAATATCTAGTGCTAGTGAGTCTCTTACTTCAATTTGAGGAGTCCTGAGGTCCTGAAGGCAAAGCTAACACAGTGTGTGCTTCTCTCTTACAATATTAAGCCCAACCAGGAACAGACCTCGATATCTCCACTGTGTAATGGAAATGTAGTGAAGCAGATGATGGTAGAAACGTCATGCAGCATTTTGTCTGGGGATCTATTTGAAGAATGCAAAAAACTTGTGAGTATTGTGTCATGTGTTTCACATTCTTCAATTCTGCGTGATCTGTGCTGACACTGATTACAGCTGAGGGGAAAAGTATGGTTGTGCTGACAGCACATGGGACTTGGAAGAGGCTAACTGGCATTCTCATCTCTGACCCTGTCCTGTAGCTGATACTTCATGAGAAAATAACAGGATTCCACCTAGTAATAAGCTAGAGATTAACTTTTACTTGAGGGAAATTTTACTCTAAAACACAGAGACTGGCACGTAAAGACAGCACACGGGACTTGGAAGAGGCTGACTAACTGGCATTCTCATCTCTGACCCTGTCCTGTAGCTGATACTTCATGAGAAAATAACAGGATCCCACCTAGTAATAAGCTAGAGATTAACTTTTACTTGAGGGAAATTTTACTCTAAAACACAGAGACTGGCACGTAAAGTCAAGCACAAGGCTTGAGATTTGAGGGGAGAGGGAGCTGAGCTAATGTAATGCCATTCAGACTGTGTGCTACCCAAACTGCTGCACAAGAGGCTATGGGGCCCCAAAACATATACAGTTACTCCGTATGGGGAATATTTCGGCACAATAAACTGCAGTGTCTGCAGCAACTTCGAGAATGTGGGCCAATTTGTGTCCTTGCTGACATCAGCAGAAAGATCTGCACTGACTTCTGTGGCACTCTTGGCGAATGGAGCAGCCAAAGCATCTGGAGGTTAAATATGTCTACAAGAAGGAGATGAAGGGAATTTACTGAGTGTACTGTACCCTGTGTTTCTCTTTTGTAGGTGAATCCTGAGCCCTACATAGATATTTGCATGTATGACACTTGTGCTTGCGAATCTGTTGGGGACTGTGCTTGCTTCTGTGATGCTATAGCAGCCTATGCACATATCTGCGCACAAAAAGGTGTTGCTGTTCACTGGAGATCACCAGCTCTGTGCCGTAAGTACAGGGTAGATGAGGAAGAACTAGGTGAAAAGGTTCAAGCTTTTAATCAATAAGCTGTTGGCTCAGATAGACTGTTCTCATCCACCTCTGCTCCCACTGATGTCCAGAGAAGTTCACCTTAATGGGACTGGACTAGCAGCTCACAGTGACATCTCCACTCCCATTTCTATTAATGTTCAGAGTCATACCTGGAAAAAACATTCCCTCAATTAGAGGATATAATAGTCTATGGTACAAACAAATTGAGAGAAAGAAATGGTTTCTGTAATATGTATGTATTTTTAATTAAAGCTGAAAATTTGGTTTTCGCAATTGTTTTTATCAAAACCAAATATCTGTGGTCTAAAGCAAGCATTTCATTATGTGAAAAAAGATGTAAGTGTGAAGAAGTGGCCTGCTCTGGATGTAGTAAAAAAAAATGTAGAAAAAAAAATATTTATTTAAAGATGGGAATCTTTCTTTTTCTATGTATATGTGGTCCACTTCATACCAAGTTTGGTGTCATAGTTCAGAGAGGCATGGTGAATACATTCTGGTTTGATTTTTTTTTTTCACCTCTGATTCTTTCACTGCATAGCACAAAGCTGTGAGGACCTGAATAAACAAGAATTAGATTATCGATGTGAATGGCGATATAATAGCTGTGGACCTGCTTGTCCTATAACATGCCAGCACCCACAGCCGTTGGAGTGCCCTCTGCGGTGTGTGGAAGGATGCCATGTACACTGTCCTGCGGGTAAGTCCATCTTTTGCTTTAAGCAGTTACTTATACCTTTTTCTGCTCTGTTGCTGGTACTTCTAGGTATTGCTGTAGAGTTGTTTTGTGGTGTGTGTGGTGTTTTTTTTTTTTTTTTTTAATCCCCCAAAGTGTTCCTATTGCATGAAAAGAGGTCCTACAGTCGAGAAATATTCATAATTTGTAAGGCTGGAGATTGCAAAAGACTTAGATGTAGCAGTTAATTCCTTAACAGGCTTATTGATGTGTTTTCACCACAATTTCTTACAGCATAAGGAGGAAGGTGGTTAGGCACCCTGATTTAAATTTGTGAAATGTTAAAGTAGGGTATGCATTTGTGCTGGACACTCATAAAATGCTTTCCTTCAAAGCAACTACTGCAGTGGGGGAAACCCCTTGCCTTGACCTGCTTACTACCTCCAAGGCTCTGATGTTCCTGAGAGTGCCCAGCAGGGATTCTCCTGTGAGCCTGAGCTTTCAACTTAACTGTTCCCAACAACTATCTCATAGAAAGGGGAAAGTTAAAAATAGAGGAAATATGGAGCGGGGAGAAGAAAGACAGACAGAAAGGCAAGGAGTGAAAGACAAGCAAGATCCAAAAGGAAAGTGAAAACTCAGATGAATGAATAGCTTCTAATGGCAGAGCAGGAAGACCTGAAGGCAAAGATAGAAGATATTTTCAGACCCCAAATAGCTATTCTGGGCCCTGGCATCTCTGATCAGAGTGAGGTAGGGGATACTGGGAGAAATAAATAATATACATGTAAAAAGAAAAATGCCATTTTCTCCTGTCATCTTCAATGCTTTCTTCTAAAGGTATATTCACCTTCTGCATGGTACTGGCTGTTGCAGGTTTTACACTGGGTTAAGTACTTCCAATATCTAAATAAAAGTGATTATGAAAGAACGAAATACTTCTCTGTGTCAAGCTGGCAGTGGCCATAACACACGCACAGTATTCAGAACATTTGAGCCCGACTCAGAAGCCTTGTAATGTTTTTTTGTAGCAGGGTAAACGCAATGATTAGTTTTGCGATTCATGAAAATTGGCATCTTTATACTACTGTGCTATTTTGAAACAGGGAAAATACTTGATGAACTGTCCCTGGATTGCGTCAGTCCGGAAGACTGTCCTGTGTGTGCAGTTGGAGACGTCAAGATCCCGCATGGAAGGAGAATAGTTTTGAACAGCGATGATCCACAGCGCTGTCAGTCTTGGTACGGTGGGTTTATGCAGTGAAACAGCACGCCTGTTGAGTAGGATGAAAAGAGATGAAGCACATCCACATGAATAAGTTTTTGGACGTGACTTTAAATATGCCACTGAAGATGAAGCTTGGAAACCATCTTTTATGTCAATATCCCTTCACATACAATCTGAAGCTGAAGTTTTTCAGTGACAGTGGGGATTATAGGATGTCAGCTGAATTTAAGCAAGTGAAATTCATAAATTCCTTTCAGAAAAGGCATTTTCTCATGTGTAGGTGGCCCTACTACCCTCATATGTTCCACTTCTTTTTGTGTAAGGTGTGATTCAACATCAATAAAGCCATCAGACTCTTTCCTTCTGCCAGCACTAAAAAAAAATCCTACCTATAGTACAAAATCTGAAAGTGCACTCAGTCTAGAACTCGCTGAAATTATTAGCAGTTGGAATCATGTACTATTATTGGAAAACCAATTTCCCCAAGATTTTAAGATGATATCCCATGGCCTGATCCTGCATGCATATATTTCCAAATATGATTAAAATTAAGGGCAGGATGCAGAATGCTGTGCACCATGCAGGATGAGGGCGTTCAGCTGCAATGTGGCAGAGACTAATTATCATTCTGTATACTGCCCAGTGGCATATTATGCCATGGCCTGTAGTATCTGAAAGTCTGGCATTCTCCGGGTGTCTCGACCCAAGATGGATACTTTCACTAGTCACTTATAGCGCTGTGAATGCAAGAGAGTTTTCGATCTTGTGATTTGACCATATTTAATAGAAACCGAGTTGTAAAACTGCAGCAGCTATTAGCCGAGACTAACACCATAGCTCCAAATGCTCTGAACCTCACAGAAGCTCTAAATGGGTATGAACTTTGAATTCCTGGCCTCTTGCCAAGGCTAGTGTACGTCTGTGCTATAAACCCAGGGCATGAGACTGCTATGCTAATCGATTAAATACTTTTTTTTAACAATATACATGAAGAGCCTTGAATTCCATCAAAAGGTCAAAAAAGAGTCTTCATAAATGAGTCTCTGTTCCCTAATTTTTGTAATCCTTAATAATAATTTATCTTAAATGTTGATACACTGGCCATTGCTCACAAAAGATTTCAGAACATTAGGAAAACTTACCTCACTAGGGAAACATCCTTTTGCATAGCTGTCACCTAATTTAGATGCCTACACCATCTGTACAAACAATAGAAAATATTGCACAAAAAAGAATTTTATAGCAAATATCCAGAGGAAATTGGAAACTAGAAGAGGCTCATTCTTATTAGGATTAAAATAATAAATCTTCTGTTGCTATACGTTAATGCCAAAAGTAGCTGTGCATTCTTCAATTAGGAAGACACTAAAAGCAGCTTGAAAAGAACATAGCGCTTAAACATAGAGAACTTAAACTAAGGTGCCATGTGTAAAGTGAAGTCTTTTCCTGGAAAATGGCACCTTCTTCCAATATTGACTTGTTTAGTTTGTACATCTTGGGTTTTCTCTGGCAGTGAAAACAAGCATTTTTTTGGTCCTTGCTCCTTCAGAAGCTTTTCCTATTCTGTTTCTTGGACTGTTTGGGAAAATAAGGAAAATATATTGGCTAAGCCTGTACCACTCTGTGCATGAGCATAGTCATATTCTTTAGTCTGATAAGTGAAGTACAGAGAATCATGCAACCAGGAATTAGAAGGGCAGAAGGGTTAAAGGCTTGCTAAAGATAGATGAATTATAAACAAGTTCCTAAAAGGTGGAGGGTGACAGAGGTGAAAAATCTCATGACCATATAGGAGGATGAATAGTAGAAAATCAGAGATGGGGGAAAAAGAAAAATGGGAGCTGAGATGGAAAGGGGAAGAGAAAAATGTACTAATGGAGGTGGGTAGAAATTATGAGGGAAGATATGGGACTAAAAAGAAGTAACAGCTATAGATGAAATACATCATTTAATATGAGAGAAGAGACTGAAAAAGAGAACATGGTAAATGAGAGACATAATAAAGCAGAGGATGAACACGTGCCAAAGCTGTATTCAAACCAAAATGAAGTCAGGAAAAAGAAAAGGAAGGTAGTGCGCTTTAGAGATAGAAAAAAAGGTTGTTATTTCAACTAAGGTTAAAATCTGGGTAAACCTAGCATCCTCACAGAGTCTGCCAAGTCATATCAGAGCTAAAAGCATCTTTCTGCTCTAGGATTTCACTTTGTGTTATCTGCCTCATGTTTTGCTTCCGTGTGAAGCAACCAGATGTGCCAGTTCAGTCCACCAGTGGCTTGTAGGCAGCCGTATTGCTGAAGCTTGATGGGTTTCTAGGCAGTTTTCTGCAGATTTTATGCATTCTGCCAAAGGCTGTTATGAGGAGAGTTTCCTCTGACAAACACATCATAGTTTGTCATATGTTCCCTGGATCTAAGCAAATATGCATGAACATACAGGATTTAGCTGTACAATACCTTGTGGGGAAATGAGGTGGGGGGAAAAAAAATTAATTCACACCATGTTTTGGTTTTGTTGTGTTTTTGGGATATTTAACTGTTTCTGTATGGATATTCTTCTATTATATATGGGTGATATGTTGTTATAAGCATTGATTTTTTTTTTTTTTTTTTATTGTTAAATTTGGTGATTTTTTGTAGTGTGTGTGAAGGGAAGAACTTAACCTGTGTAGCCTGTGAACTGGTGGAGGACATCCTAACACCAACAACACCTGCTCCAGAGGAGGACATTGAACTCCCACCCAGTGAATACTCATGCAGCAAGATGATGGACTTGGCCTTCCTAATGGATGGCTCCAATAAACTGTCAGAGGAGGACTTTGAACAGCTGAAGACTTTCATAACTGGCATGATGAAGAAACTCCACATCTCCCAAAAGAAAATCCGAGTGTCAATTCTAGTGTATAGGGCTGGCCCCACGATCTATCTTGGCCTTAAAGATATCAAAACACAGTCACAGATGAGAAAAATTGTCCAAAGCATAAAATACACGGGTGATGAAGTAGCGTCCGCCGCTGAAGTGCTTAAATACACTGTGTTTCATGTGTTTGGAAAAGCGGAAAGGACCAATGCTGCCAGAATTGCAGTGCTATTTATAGCAAGCAAGTCTCCAGGAAAATTCCGCAACATCCTTACAGCTTTGAAGAGTAAAAAAATCGCAGTAATACCTGTGGGGATTGGACCGTATGTTAATGTGGAACAAATCAGATTCATTGAAAAGCAGTCACCAGATAACAGAGCCTTCCTAATGAACAACGTGTTAGAGCTAATGGATAATAGGGATCTCCTCATAGATCATCTATGTGATCTTGGACCTGAAGAAAATTCTCTGGTGCAAGCTACATCCACTCCCACAATATCCAGTGTCTTATTTCCCACTTGGGGACTCACAGCACCACCGCCCTTGTCAGAAAAGCCCACTCGCAAAAGACTGGACATTGCTTTTGTTGTGGAAGGATCTGACAATGTAGGGGAGGAAAATTTCAATATAGTCAAGAAGTTCCTTGAGAAGGTGATCACTGGAATGAATGTAGGACAGGAAGATATTCACGTTACAGTCATGCAGTATTCAGAGACTGTCACTCTGGAATATTCCTTTAGGGAAATACAGTCAAAGGAAAGTATTATTGAGAAAGTGAGGAGCATACCCTACCAAGGAGGGAAGGCTACCAACACTGGGAATGCTCTCGATTATATTTCCAAACATACATTTACATCAGTGAATGGGGGCAGGCAATATGTTCCTCACTTGGTATATATGGTGTCATCCAGTCCTTCCACTGATGTTATCACGCGACCTCCCAGGAGCATAAATGTTATTCCCATAGGCATAACCCCCAATGCAAATATCCAAGAGCTCAGACAGATCAGTCAGCCTAATAACCCAATTATCTTGCATAGTTACAGCACACTTATTGAAGAAGCACCTGAATTAGTGCTGCAGTCGTGCTGCTCTCGTAAATTTTGGACAGAAATTCCAGGTAAAGTTAGACATATTTTTCTGTGTAATTTCCTCTTGCCTCTGTCCTGTCTGCTCCATTTCCCTCTCACATCACTGAAATTTGAAGGGTTCCCATATCTCATTTGGTATCTCATCCAAATGCCAAGGAAGGACCATTTATCTTCACTGGAGTCTGAGGATGCTGCCCCAGTTCAGCAGTACTGAGCACAGAACTTCTGTAGGCTCAGAAGTCCTTGCCTCCCTCTGTCAGTAAAGTACAGTAGCTTTCAGATAGGTTGGAGGGTGACAGAAGAAAAAAAGTTATTCTCATCTGCCTGCCTCAAGCAAGTTAAAATTATACTTCCTCTTTCCTGAAGAGGCTTCATTGGTTTTGTGTTTTTTTGGTTTTGTTTTGGGTTCGGGTTTTTTTGTGGGGTTTGTTTGGTGTTTTTTTTTTTTTTTGCGGGGGGGTATTTTGTGTTTGTGTTTCATTTTTGTTTGTTATTGGTTTGGTTTAGGGTTTTGTTGTCTTTTTTTTTTTTCTTTGCTGTTGTTTTTGTTTTAGTCCTCTGAGGGTAAAATAGCATTAGAAGTAAAGCAAGAATTGAAATACTCATGTATCCCATTGAATATAAACCTGAAGGTTTTCATTAAAGGGGCATCACTTACTGTTTCAACTGGTCATTATCCTGCTTTGTTTTCCCAAAATGCAGGTGTCTGCCCTTTCTGCTCAAGTATAAATAACCCCCCCTTTTTTTTCCCCTTTTTCCCCCCTCCTCAGAGTTGTGCAACAAACCAATGGATGTCCTCTTTCTTCTGGATGGAAGTTCCAATATTGGAGCATCAGAGTTTGAGGAAATGAAAAACTTTGTACGGGCATTTATTGAAAGTGCTGAGATCAGTATGTATCTGTCTTTTAACTCAAACATATAAAGATACTTCGTATTCTTTTGCTTATACAGGACAAAACAGCTTCTCGATATAGTTTTTTAATTTTTATTTTTAAATGACTCATTCTAATCCCTCAAAAAAATTTAAGTTTATAATGGGGAAATCAATCTAGTAAAGCTTTTGATTCAGATGGAGTTCAGTTTCCTCCCAAACCAAGCCGTAGTGGTTCAAGTGAATAAAGGTTTGACATCCAATTCAGGGAATCTTGTGATGAGGAACAGCTCTGATGAGCGCTTCCCTTTATACTGTGCTGCACCTAAGAAGTATGTGTGCTAAACAGGCAAAGACGTCCCTGTCAGAGGATGGAGATTTAGCTGAACTGTTGTTCTGTGACAGAAAAGCAAAAATACATGTGTGTTTTTGGTTCAGATCTGGATTAGGTTCAACAGATTTGAAAATAGTAGTTCAAGTTCAGTTCTGGTTCATGTAAGAATGGATAACTCAGAGGGTTTTTGGTTCTGGTTTGGTCTGACTGCAAGATTTTGGTCTTCGGAACAGGCATTTCAGGTTCTGACCAGCTCTTTTTGGCTCTCCTAGGGTGCTGGAACTGACTTTTAAAGATTTGTTTCCTGACTCATGTTGGATGACAGATGCTTTTTGGGAGCACTAGACTCGCTGAGCTTGCAGAGTATGTACTGATGGGAGGTACACCTCTGTCTGTACATTCGGCACAGCTATTATCAGTGCAGGCACCCTGGCAGAATGCCATATATCCTGCGCATACGTGAAGGGACCATGTGGTGCACGTAGTAAGTTAGGACATCGTATGCCATTGCACCAACTCCATCCGCATGGCAGAGGCTGCACAGGATCCTGTGTTTTCCCAGTAGCATTTGTTTTAATAACCTGGATTTTTTTTGATTAGAATTGTACTTTTTCAATTCCGCATTAAACCATTTCCATGGAGCAACTGCTGTTGCTCTACTGTTTCCCACTGGGTGTTGACATATTTGTATTATACCTGTGCTTCCAAAAGAGGTGATTACCAGCACTTGTACTAATTAGAGAGCTCATAGAGGAAAAGTATAGCATTTCTGTATGTCTAGAATAAGTTAGATTTGATTTTTTTTTAGAGATAGTACATGGAAGACACTCTCTTTCTGAAAAGTGTACATGCGTGATACAGAGAAGGAAGCCAAGTGAAATAAACTCAAACTAAACAACAAACGAACAGACAATTTATTTTAGCCTAGCTGTTTTCCTTATCATTGAAGCCTGTAATAGCAAACGTTACATCATTAACAACAGGAAAATAGTAATGTAGCTATGACTCCTCGCTGTGACCTTGATTTTAAAATCTTTAAGAAGACCATGGAAAAACTGTAAAGTGTAGTGAATAGACCATATTCAGATCGATACAGGGCTGCAGCATTTGGGCATGTGAAATCACATTTAACTTCATTCATAAATGTTTTACAAAGCATTGATACAGAATAATATACTGTATACATAAGTATCTTCCCTATACAGTAGAAGTCCTTCTAAGACCATGAAGAGAGATATAGCCGATCATTATAAGCAATGTATTGCCCAGTTCAATTCTGCAAGTCTGATATTTAGTAACTATCTATATCAACCCTCTGGTAATAGTTTTATTCATACTTCTTGCATAATGTATAAGCAGAACCAGGATGTCAGAGAATAGCAGAACTTGGAATTCCTCTTCATTGCCCTTTGCAGGTGATACTTCCTGGGACCAATCTGTCCCATGCTACAGCTTGATGCATGTCACTCAAGTGATGTATGACAGAGGGAAATTTGCCTGAAATGTAGTCATCCAGGGAACTTGGCCCATCAGACAAATGGGGCATCAAACTACTGCTCTTGCAAAACAATATGCACATTAAAAAAAAAAAAAGTGATGTTTAGACAATTTTAAGATGGAAAAGGAATAATATTTGGAGATTAATAAAGTCTCTGATCGTGGTCAAAGTGATCTGAGGTAAAATACTGCATACTGATTCCTGAGAGAAAAACAACTGTTCCCTCCAGTACTTGCGTATTTTTTCACCTGGGAATAGTTCAGTTTTGATCTTTTGATTGAAAATGCAGCTTTCACACTCTGTTGGAAAATTGCTGTCTAGTTGTGCTTAATGTAAAACACAACCATAATGTATCCTTTAGATTTATTTTAAGACATTCATATGCACTGCTTAAAATGTTCATTTTCTGGTTTCTGCTTCAGGCAATACTTCAATTCATGTGTCAGTTCTCCAGTATGCAAGGGAAAATAATCTAGAAATTTCATGGAACGTGCCTCAGGAGGCTAAAAAGCTTGTAGAGATGGTGCGCTCAATTCAACAAAGGGAGCAAGGTCCTACCAGACTAGGTGAGTCATTATGTGGATGTTGATGTTTAAACAAGAGGGAAAAAAAAAACCCAGAAATGCTAAAAATAGCCTGGCCCAATCAGCAATTTGTGTCAGTGCTATTGTGGTAGGACTCTCAACTTTTTTTTTTGGTTTACTCATATCTTTACTATATGTACCTGTCTTGGTAAATGTTCAGTTTTCTCCATTAAAATGTATCCATAGGTTACTCACATTAGGGTTTATCTTAATGTATTTTATAAAGAAGACGACTGGTTTCTTTTTAGCTTTGAAGTAATTCTCAGGGTTTGCATTCATTATCTTTCAAGCAAGCAAAACATAATTAAGAAGTAAAGACTTTGATCATTAACCTTTCAGCATCAATTAGTTGATTAGACATTTGGCAGCAGAACTGCTTATGCTGACTTCAATAGCTGCCTTCGCCAAGTGTTTGTTACTCTGTGTTGAGCTAGCATAACCGATCTGGTTAAAAAATAACCTAGCAAAACAGTAGTTATATTCTGGGTGGTTCAGTTCCCTCATCCAAGTTGCTGTGCTGGTCCCACAAGGACTTGGGCTGGCACAAGGCTGAGGATGGTGCCAGGGAGCGACGATTGCCTAAGGCGGCACCTTAGCTGAAGAGTTACTTGTGAGACATCATCTTCTGTTCCAGGCAACTGCATCCTGAAAAACATGTCCACTTCAATTTTCATGTGCTAAAACATAACACAGATTTCCCCGTGGGTCTGTGGAAATTCAGTACGCACACATGGATCAGTTGTAGGGTTCAGCAAAAAATGATTCTTCTCCAGCGTATCTTCTTTCATCAGATACCCTGAGAATTTTGTTCTTCTGGACTGGAACCACATTTGCTCTGGCAGCCACCTAGCATTAGGGTCCTATAAGAGTTGAGGAGTACACAGATTTTTAGAGTCTTTGGCCTACTTCAGACTGTAAAGAGTTATTGGTACAGAAAAGTGAGAAATAAAACCTGACTTCCATAGTTCGCAGGAGGATTAGCCATGATTACTTTCTCAGCCTGGAGAAATAAAAATACCAGATGGCTGATGAGACTTCTATAGGCTCGTTGTAGAATAAATTGTTACGTACAAATAGATAAGTTTTGTGAAGCCTTCCATGTAATGTGTATAGTAAGCCACACTGAACTACAGGATAAACAGAGAAAACATGGCCTTTGGGAAATGAAATGGGAGAGGCAGCCACATGACATACTCGTTAGTGATTTGTTTATGTCTCATTGGAAAATGCTCAGAGACCACGATGAGGGATGTGGTATAATGAACCAAAATGGAATAGAGTAGAAGTAGTTCCTCCCAAATGAAGTAATGAAAATAACTCACTGTGGTCCTATCCTGCACCTTATAATGTGTGTGAATTCAGCTGACTGTGTAGGAGACTCAGCATCCATGGGAAACGCATGGTCATTCATGTCATTCTGTCTGTGCTCGGGCCTCTGGAAACGTAGAGGCTACTTAAAAAGTGTAGATGGCTCAGTCTGGGTATTGTAGTTCCCTAGGTAGATTTGGAAATCTTTTCTAGCCTATGGAGGGCTTGATCCGGATTTACCTGTCAAAAATATTGTTACCATCAGACCAGTGCTGTTTCTTCTCGTTTACACTGGCTTCCCTATGGTAGAAACACGATTCTGTGTAATCCTTGTTCAATCTTTGCTGATCCAAATCATGCTATTTTGATCAAAACAGCTATATGTGCAGAGAGCAGTTGTAGGCTCTATTGCCATCGCTGCAAAAGTCTTACTGCAGAAAGCGTTCCCTTTTCTGTTTCATTTAACCATAAGGAAACTCCAGGAGAGAGATGCATTTTATTAGCAAGAAATGAAAAACTACGGAGTATTTGAGGGGCATAGGCAGAACAAAAAAGAGCTGCTTATACCACAAAGCTTTCCCATGCTTATATGATAAGATAGTATCAGGCAAATTTTGGCTCAAGTAACCTATTGAGAAGAACCTCTGGGGATATTCAGACATGAATTGTCAGAAATAACTGGAAAAAAAAAGAAGAAAACAAACTGCAAGCAAGAGCTGACTATATAAGCCTTCATTCAGCTAAAAGGGTGATCTATGCGAGAGAACTGAGAATCACGTAAACATGCCTCTGTTCAGCATTCATGGGTATTTAGGAGAGTCATAGGGAGCACATTGAGCAATCCCTACAGTAAATACCACTTAAGACTTTATAAAAACATGATTTTGCTTGCTTATACCTTTACTAAAAGTAGCTCATTTAGGCTGATATGTTCCATGCCCACTGCCTGCTTCAGACTCAAAATTTGGAGGACGTACGAAGTGTCTCAACTGTATTAAAAGCATTGTTAGGGAAATAATTGTATGTTTTCCCCACCCCTTAGGAAAAAAATGCTCTATTTTTACTGAAACTTTCTATAGTTATTAGCATATTTCAACAGCAGCATTCAGCTTTGCCTGTCATGATTAAGAAAGTATAAATATTTCCTTTCTAAAGCCCCTCTGTGGTTTAGGAAGCAAAAGCCCACCATAGCACTCTTCTTTATTTAGATCTCTGCCCCGAGCGATGCGGTCTATGCAGAGTTTTCAAAATCTTGTCCCCCATCACCCCCCCAAGGCCGTGGTTTTGTCAGCAGCTGCCATGATCTAAGGGCTTTCATCCACTGAAAGCCAGAGGTCGTCTTCCCTTGCTCCCCCACTACTGTTTCTGAATCCGTGGTGTCGGCTCCTTTCTGAAGCCAGCTTTGGGTGCCTACGAGTTTCTTCCCTCGGCTATTGTAATTCAGTCTTGGCACTTTTGTTTACTTGCTTGGTTTTTTTTCAGTTCATTTCTTAGAAGGTTTGCGAGTTGAATATGGTCCTGGTGGAGCCCGGGATCATCAGAACCCTTTGGTGGTAAGAGAAACGCTGGATTTGTGACCTGCAGAGCCAGGAAAGCAGAGGAGAGAGTTTGGGGCCTCGTAGCCTGCTCCTTTCAGTGGTGGTGGGCTGTTGGACTGACAAATCTGTGCTGTTCGTGGAGAGTTGAGCCATTCTGTTAACTGAAACGTGTTAATACCAGAATATCAATGTGCTAAGAACAGACTGTCGATCTGTGAGATCAGTTTGCAATAGCCGATTTGTTTCAAAATCAAAATAATCTGGTATTTTCAGCTAAAAAAACCCCAAATGACCAATTCAATGTCAAGACCCTAAATTAAGACATAAAGACCAACTATCATCATGTAGGATTGTTCCTGATGAGAGAAGTCCTTCGTTAAATAGATGCAATCTGCACTACCCACAGTCCAGATAATGTTGGCTTTTTCTATACCTCTCCAAGTGCTGAGGAACCATTTCTTTTTTTGCTTCTTTCCCAGGCAGCTTTCAGTACTTGTGGGTGATTAAGACCTCTTGTAGTGGTTTTTCTTTTTTGGTCAAGATGTTGCAGAAGTGTTAGCGAAACCACTGAGGCTACTTAAGGCACTGATTCACAAGTTCCCAGCAGGAACCTCCGCTTAACTAGAATCCCCTGTCTGTCACAACTCCACAGACCCTCATGGGGGCTTTACGTTTTATTCCTCATTTCAGACAAAATTAAAGTAAGTAATTGCAAAGGTTGCTTTTAAGCAGTTTCTGCTTTCCCTGAGGCATCCACCAAACCATTAAATGTCTGTGCATTGGTTTATTTTCCTTCAGATTGGCTTATTCTGGGATGAATCTTGGTTTTTATTTCTTGGATGGATTTCAAATGTTTTTAGGGTACCTTGTGCTCTTTCAGTTCATTCCATGATGTTCATAATTGTTCCCAATATCTGTGATTCAGATTAGCATGCCTTTTTACACAGTTTTTCCTCCTTTATCCAAATCATTAATGACACTATTCAATAAGGCAGAATCTAGTGAAATTCCATGTAGACTCCTAGTAAACACCTCCAACTCTACTCAACAGATTTTGTCCTTAAAACTTGTTTATGTCCATTTAATCAGCTTTCAGTGCTTGCAGGAACCTCTATGTGAGCCATTCTGAATTATTACTTCAGAATATGAGTCTGGCTTGAATGTGTATCAGATGATTTAAAAAAAATAATTATTCAGCTAATTAGCCCTTATTGAATAGTCTTGTTCAAAGCAGCCAAAACCCGTTCTTACAAAGGCTTTTCTGACTGTCAAAAGTTCAGCATCAAATGTTCATAGTTTAGCAGAGAGAAGACGACTGCAGTGATGCCATTGCTTCTCCATTTTTTCCCTATCTTTGTAGGATATTTTCTGTTGGTTTTGCTTTAATGATTATTCCAAACATGACTTGTGTTTTGCACTCTCTAGTCTAGTCAGGAGTGTATCAACGCTGAAAGATGGGGGGAAGGTACCATGCTGTGGTGGCGGCCTTTGGAATGACCAACATGCCCTTCTTAAAGTAGCCCATATAGATCAATGGTTTTTTTGGTTTTTTTCTTTTTATTTATTTGTATTTTTTCCCTGCACATGCCCAATGACTAGCAGTCATGCCCTACCAACTGAGCTGAAAGTCTGCTGGGGGCTTAGTGCTCCTGCAAGCAAGGCCTTTTTGTTCAGTTATCCAGATATATGTTTAAATGGTCAAATTTGGGAAGGGGGGTATGTGTGTGTATGTATGAAGTTAATTGTGGCCATTACCTGCCAGGACCAGCGTAAGTGTAACATGTGTGGAGGTAGTAGGAGAAGAGAGGGCAGGAGGTCAGGGGCAGACGACCAGACACTCATTCCCCATCACGTCCACTGCCTTTGGGAACAGATTTTTTTTATCATGTGTCATGCTGCACTCAGCTCTGTTATTCTGTTGTATGTGATGAAGGCTTTTGGCTTTGAGACTTCCATCTCGATTTCTCATGGCTTGTATGTCTAATGCCTAAAATACATATAAGTATAGAAGTCATTCTGCTTCCAAAGCCCATTTGTTACCTTTTTTCTTTTTTTTTTTTTTTTTTTGATAGCACATTGTGTATGTAAGAAACAGAAACCATTTGTAACAATAATACATGAGACTAACATAATTTACTCCTATGTTCAGTACGTGGAAACATGTTGGCTGCTAGTCCGAGCTTAGGGTCGCATGCACACACAGAGGAAATCCTTAAAAATGTGTGACCCTTAAAGCCCATAGCAAACCTCCCCTTCACTTCACTGGGGCTTATATGACACCCCTTGTCAATGCTAGCAAATGATGTTTTGGCCACTGTCAGATTTTCTTTAAAGACAAAAAAATTGTTTTGTTGTTTTACGGAGCAGGGTTTAGGGTATTTTCTGTTAGCATTTCGATTTTCTCTAGGGTCCATCGCTGAAATAAATAGCTGATGGTGTGGTCCCATACAGCTAAACAGATGTAAGAGCTAGCTACTGCAGAAGGGCCCGGCCCCCTGACACCTCAGTGGTGCACACTTGGTGTGGGGAGTGCATTGGGCGTTTCAAACCAAACTACTACAGATAGTAAGTTCCTGCCGCTGTATCCTGGAGAACTGCGAGGAAGAAGAACCCAAATCTTTTCTCAACTACTGTACAGGATGAAACAGCGCAAGCTTCCTGAGTTAGAGCTGGGCTTGTTTACACAGTAGACGGTGTGTTTAGGTTATTTATTTATGGGGAACGTGGGAAGGGATGTGCATTGGACCTTCAGCAAGCTGAGAGAAGGACCAAAATGGCTGAAAACTTTACACTTTTTTAGAAAGGTTGTTTTTCAGACATGTTGAGTTGCCTGAAGCGGCTAGCTGGGTGGCCCGATGGGCAACAGTGCTGACTGCAGGGGACTGGAAGGGCATGGTGAATGTGGAGGAGCAGGACCCTTCCTTCTGCCAGCAACTTGTGATGGCACCAACACAGCCAGAGATGCATTTGCAATGTCTGTAGATATGTCGGAGCAAGCTGGAGTGGAGCCGCTGAAGGGGTGTGTAAGACACAAGGTGGTCTCATAAAGGCTGAAGCCTGTGTGGCTCAGACCTGGTCGCTTTAAAGCTAATTTAATTTTGTCGAAGATGCTGTGCACTCTCTTTTCAGTCTTAATATAGCCTCGTGCTTGGTGATATTTATTGCAGTGTAAACATTTTAAATTTCCTTTATTGGTATGAAAATGGCAGATTACTATTGTGTTCCAGTCTAGTAGTAAGAAAATGTTCAAGTTAGTTTGTTTGCAGTCAATATTTTCTATTATGACCTCTGAGGAGTTTGGTATTTCCCTCCCTGGTGAGATGTAGAGACAAACATCTGAGAAGTGACAGCTTCTAGTTTGGGATGGTGACTTTCTGAATCCCTCTAGCAGGACAAAAGCATTTGTTTGATCATGGCTTCAGACACCTGGCTCTTTTGTCTAAAGCTGGCTTCAAAATAAGAGGAGAACTCCAAAGAGTTTTTAGTACACTAAAACAAATTTTCCATGCATTAAATTGAGTAATTGTTTTTTGGGGACTTTGAAATAGTCTCTGGTTCTATTACAATGGAACTTGATTTCTTTATTAGAAATTATAACAATAATGGGTTTTCCAGTTTCCAGATATGTATGGAAGTTTCTGAAAAATTTCAGAATTAATAGGAGAAAGAAAAATGGAACTGCAGCAGCTGGTGACCATACCAACCACACAAAAGTCAAAGGGTCGTTAAAAAAAGTCGAACGCAGAAATTCCAAGTCCTTTTCACGAATGAAAAATCATTTGTGATTCTTGCTGCACAAAAGTTTAACCTAAAATATTTGAAAGTTAAAACCTGCAATACTTTTTTTAGTAATTATTTATAGGACAAAAGGGAAATGAGTCCATTTTCTGGCACAGAGACGATCCTAGAGCAATCTCGGGGATTGGAATATAGGCATATTAGTTTTGTTTTATCCCTTAGTTATTTATAGTTAACATGCCATTCTGTATCTAACATCTACCTCTACAGACATACAGAGTAACTACTGGACAACAAAACCTTTTGTAGCAGTGATTGTGAGACAATCATATAGGACATGAGTTAATACCTGGGGTTAGTGAATTTTTCTGGTCAGGAATAGTAGTCTGTGAAATGGAATCACCGTCACCCAACTAATAATGGTGTTTTAAAATATATTTTGTTGCAAGTACAAAAACATTCAGAATTTTGAGGTTTTCACTGAACAGAAACTCTATCGTGTTTTCATTTCGTATGTAAAATATAATTCAAAATTATGTGGGAATGAAAATCAAAATATAGGAATGAAATGAATCCACACAGTTGGAAGGACTAAATAAAAGATAATCATAGCAAGAAAGAGAAGAGAAACATCCCATTTTGTTCTTAAATACTGTTGAAAGCTTTCTGTTGATTTTTCGTTTGGTTTGGTTTTTCCCCCTCCTTCCTTCTGATCATAATTGACATTTCCAAAAAGCATTTTGATTTAAACAAACATGCATCTTTCTATTTGAAAACTAGTGCTTGGGAAAATATGTGACCCTCTCTAGACAGGAGATCGCTGGTGGAGGTAACGGCGCATGATAGGTGAAAGCTTATAGAAGGAGAAATTGATATGGATCCTGTTCCTGCGGTAGGTCTGACAGGGCCTGGCAGCGGTTCCTGGTGGCTCCCAGCTCTTCTCTTGAGTTGTGGGCATCTGGGTGGAGAGATGACAGATGAAGATGAGGGTGAGCTTGGGAAAAGGACCTTTGCTTCTGTCAGTGGCAAGGGGTAGGTGACATGATGAAAGAAGATATGAAGTGCAAAGTGTTCAGGTGTGCTAAGGTATTCTGGGGGTGTGCTGGTGAATTATCTGTGATCTGACTTCCAGTGTTTTACAAATATGTTTGTTTTTTAAAATTGTTCAGTGAATTCCTCAGGCAAACATATTTCTGCTCCACAGTTACTGCCGATTGCTCAGAGGAACTAGCCTTTCAAGTATTTCTTATTCGCCGTTCACTGTTTGCCCTGAATGTCCCATCAGTCACACGGTATCATTTCTACTTCCTGACCTCATAAATTCCAAGCCCAAAGGAGCTTTTAAGAAAGCTGCATATCATGATTCCCAGTATAAATATTTGTGCAAATACATATCTAAATATGAGTGCTAGCAAAGTACTCTCTTGCTGAGGTCATGATTTTGAACTAGAATTTGCCCGAGTGTTCACAGATGTTAAATGAAAAGGCAGCAGCTATCCATTTACGGGAGTTTGTGATTTGGTAAATAAGGTAGAATTTCTTTGTGTGTTTTGTGGGTTTTGTTTGTTGTTTTGGTTTGTTTTGTTTTTAATATGGATCACTCAGTTATATTATGGGTTAGTCTGAGTCTAGACTTCAGAGAGGTTGCTAGTAGTAGGGAGGCAAGATATGCTTTTCACAGCCGTAAAAAAAGTTGACCAGATGAGAGAAGGATTAGATCTCTGGGCACTGAGCAACTTGTGTGTACAGTTCAAGATGGTGTGACGTTGTAGATCAGATAGCCACTGGATGTCACTGTTGGTCTGCAGTTGAGAAATAAATATATATTCTTCCATGATACCTTCTTTCCTTTTGTGTAACGCAATGGTAATACTTCTGGAAAAGGTAACGACGAAAGCGAGGAGCATAACTTTATCCTTGTGGCTAAGTAAAGGTAGTAGAATTCCCATTACTTCAGAAACTGGGGAGCTAAGGATGGTCCTCCTGTGTTGAGATGTTTTAATAGTACTGGTAGGTTCTTAATAGCTAAGATCTTAAGTGTAACAGCAATAAAGCAGACATTAGAAGTCCTTTAAGAATAAATGTTTTCCGGTACTGTATAATCTACCAATACAAATTAAGAATTTAGTCTTATAGCCTCATCTCTCATTTATCTCTTCATTTGTTCTTAGGAAAAGCCATTGATTTTGTAGTTCAGAATGCAATGTCAGAATCCCGTGGAGGGAGACCCAGCGCATCAAAGATCGCGATTGTCATCGTGTCGGGGAGATCAGAAGACACTGTGGACGCTGCTGCACTTTCTGCAAGAATGAACAGTAAATCTCGTTTTGCTGTCACTGTTTTTAAGCAGAGTTGTTGCTATTAAAGTAATGCACTAGAACAAAGGATGAAAAATTAAGGCACTGGTACGTTCATATAAGTTCAGGACTTACTGTGTGTAATGTTCTGGTAAGAAACAGGCCTGAACAATACCTGCCTGATGAAGATGCCTTTGAGCTGCTGGTAATTCAGGACCAATGTGCAGTTTAAGCTGAACAGCTTCCATAGACTTCACAAATTAGTGGCATTTCATTTTGCAGGGTCCTGTGGATAGACAGGCATGACGGAAACATGATCAAATATTATAAATTCCATACTGTTGCAGTATAGTGAATCTTGAAAGGATCACTCTAACAATAATAAATGAGAGGATTTGATCAGATTCTGCACTGACCTATCCAGGAACATGCTTTTGCTATCCGTGTGTGCTGCATGATGTTTTTTAAAGTTTTCTGGCTGTAGTCTCTATACCTCAGTTTCCTCAGGTGTTCAGTCAAAGAACATTGACTTCCTTTGTAGGTTGCTTTGGGAGCTATTGAATAAGGCATGGACTAAATAACAGCTATCAACTCTTATCTTTTAATTAAATGGTTTGAAAATAATCCAATTGCCATGTAAGTGAAGAAAGATAACAACATCCTGAGTTTTTTACATTTGAAAAAAAGTGAAGATGTTGTCATTAAGCCTGCAGCTGCGTTTTGTTGACCATGCATGATCTTATTATACTTGGGATTAATAGAGCTCATCTTAGCTAACACTGTGGTTAAAGCATCACCATTTCTGCCCTTAATTGCCTTTAGCATATGTGGAGGGAGTGATGCAAGTAATACATGAAAATTAACTGTTGGAGAATATACTTTTCCCAGTTCTTTTTTTTTGAAGAAGCAAATGAAAAAATGCAACAGCAAAGACCACCTTCTCCTGTGCATTGCCCATTTAAAACCTTTTATCTTTTCCTAGGGGTATCCCTGTTTCCAATTGGAGTTGGGAACAGATATGATGAAGAGCAACTAAGGACTTTGGCTGGACCATCAGCTGCTAACAGAATCATGAAGCTTCAGAATTTTGAAGATTTATCCACTATGATCACACTGGATAGTGAATTTATCAAAAAAGTGTGCATGGGTAAGTCATAGAATCATAGAATCGTTATAGAATCATAGAATCAT